AAGAAGCTCGCGTCAAGTTCTGCCAGCGGTTTCAGACAGAGAGTGGTAACATCAATGACATGTATCATACCGTTCATGTTGATGAAAAGTGGTTCTTCATGACCAAGATCCGCCGACGATTCCTGCTCTGGAAGGATGAGGACGTCATCCCAAGACATCTCCAATCGAAGTCGCACATTACCAAGGTCATGTTCCTCTGTGCTGTGGCGCGACCGCGAAACGGCTGGGACGGTCGGCTCGGCTGCTGGGAGATCGTTGAGCGCGCGGCAGCTGTGCGATCAAGTCACAACAGACCTGCCGGAACAGAGGTGGTGAAGAGTGTGGTCGTCACGAAAGACGTTTACCGTCGTATCCTCGTCGACAAAGTTGTCCCCGCGATCAAGTCCAAGTGGAAGTGGCCTGTTGGCGTTGACGGTGGGGCCATTGTACTGCAGCAAGACAACGCGCGGCCTCACATCGCCCCGGACGATGCCGAGTTTGTCACGGCCAGCGAAGACGGTGGTTGGACGATCCGCATCGAAAACCAGCCAGCTCAATCGCCGGATATGAACGTCCTGGATTTGGGTTTCTTTAACTCTATTCAATCCCTGCAGCAGACGCTGGAATGCCGCAGCATGGAAGAACTCATTGCTTCCGTGAAGTGCTCTTTTCTTATGCTGTCCCCCTCGAAGCTGGAGAAGACGTTTATGACCCTCAGGCGAATCATGCTTGTCGTCATCGAGGCCAACGGTTGCAATCGCTACAAGATACCCAGAAGTGCATTGACACCAGAGGACGAAATGGCTTTATCATTGATGAATTTGCGACTCGAGGAAGAGGATAGATTAGAAGAGGTAGCAAACCTGTTGACCACATTGAACATTGATGAGCAGTAAAAGTTATTATATTTAGATTCATGTTATCTTCAAATTTGAATAGTCCTGAATGTTCGCTTGCAGTATTTGCATAACAGAGGTAGTACAAATTTCCATATAACCTGGAGTACCACGTCATCGCGCTTTTATCAAGTTGAGTGTCGTGTGGTTGTTGTTGTTCCAAATCTTGCCAAACGCGTTTTTCTATATTTTCAAACTTGACATGTGAACCCTTATTTCGACGCAACATTGGAAAATACTCGGATGATGAACTTGTATCGAGAACGTAAGTACGATGCGGAGTGGTGAGTGTCCCATTCCGTTGAACGCAACGTGAATGCGGGAGGAGATTGTTTCGTCGTTTTCACGTTTTGTCGTTCATTCAAGCCCTCGTTGTCCACCCCCCTCCCGCAAGATCGGTACTGTAGTCACGGTGAGCTGTGACCACCGAAGGAACCAGTCGACGATGGAACGCACGTTCGTCCTCAGGCCACACGTGCCTGGAAGAAGAATCAGAGACGTCGCAAAAAAAGTTCAACGTGACGCCTTCACCTTTGCAGCTAAAAATACCGAACGATGCGCTTTATCGCGCGGTCATGCTGTTGAACATTCAACCGCCAACGCCCTTGCCATCATGGCGACAACGCTTTAGATGCTCATCAGTCAGATCGCACCATGTCCATCCTCGTGGACCCTGGCTTGTTGCGCGAAATCACCGCGTTTCAGCTAGGTCGGCGATGCGGTGACTGGACCGACGGAGACCTCGCCATCCAACTCAGGCACTTGGACTTGATTCGGTATCGGATCAAACACCTCTACTTTGATGCGATCGATCCCTTGCTAACCACTGCAACCCTCGATGTCCTGGTCTTGTTGTACGAGCACGGACATAGGTGTTCCGTCCAAGCGTTTGACACGACTGCGGCCCGAGGCGGTCCCGTGTCGCTTTTGGAATGGCTGGTGGCACATGGGAGTGACAAATGCACGCGTCGGGCGCTAGACGATGCCGCTTCAAATGGGCACCTCGACGTAGTGTTGTGGTTGCTGGAATCCGAAAAAGTTGTCGTTGTCCAGGATATCGAATCGGGCCACCCTATCGATTGGAGCCTCGCCATCGACGGAGCGGCAGCTGGTGGCCATCTCGCTGTGCTGCAGGCACTTGTCAACTGCAAGGACGGCCTCACCGCAACAACGGGGGCCATGGATAAGGCGGCCGCAAACGGGCACGTCGAAGTTCTCGAGTATCTCCACACACATCGATCCGAAGGGTTTACGGCCAAAGCGGTTCACGCTGCAGCGTCCAACGGTCACTTGGCAGTCGTACAATGGCTGAGCGCGAACACGACACCTCACCACAAGGATATGTGGGACAGTCGAGTCATGGACGGAGCCGCCGCCGCGGGTCACTTGGATGTTGTCAAATGGCTCGATGCCCACCGTCGGGAATGGTGTTCTCCGATGGCGATGAGTTTAGCCGGTGCCCACGGGCATGTCCACGTCATGGAGTTCTTGCTGGCTCATCGAAGAGAGCTGTGCACCTACGACGCCCTCGATTGGGCTGCAAGTGTCGGTCAACTAGCGTCTGTGGTCTGGCTACATGAACACTCAGCGATGCTACGTTTGGAAGTGAGCGTTGTCGCCATGGACGAAGCGGCGGGGCACAACTTTCTCGACGTCGTCGAATTTCTTCATTACCATCGAACTGAAGGCTGCACGGCCACCGCAATGGACAATGCGGCGGCAAATGGCCACTTAGCCATGGTGCGTTGGCTTCACACGAACCGTAAAGAGGGTTGCACCGAGTGGGCCATTTGTTTGGCTGCTCTTGGTGGACACTTGGAAGTGGTCCAGTTTCTGTGGACTTCTCGGCCAGAGTGCCAAGGAGTTGATGCCCTAGACGCCGCTCGCTTGTACGCTGGCGAACGCTGCCGCGTGCGCACGTGGATTGACGAACGATTAAGTTCATTGCGTTAAGCCCGATGTGGTTGGGCTGCTTCTGTCGGGTGGCGGTGTGTGCAACAATAACAGGCATGATAACGACGCCATTCCGAGGTACGAACGACAGAACCACTCGCAAACTCCTCGTAAGATGCTACTTCGAAGTAGCATAATTAACGTTTTACGTTGAACGCTTGGGTGGGTTCTAGGACACAACTGATTGTAGTAGTGACATGCGTCGTGGGGCTGACGCGAAGTGGGGTCCTTGCAGTCTTTTCCGCCGCTTTGGTCATACGTGCCGGCCATCACGACAGCAGAAGTCGAAAATGCCACCGAAGGGGTGGAGGACGACTAGTTTCAGTGTCCTCGACAGATCCACGATATGGGTACGTATTTGGCTCATGGGTAGCAGTGAGAAGAGGACTTGTGCTAGCAGCGTTGTCGTTGCTGGGGGCGTTGGGATGACGATGAGCTGGGGACAGTACCCAGCTTTGCACGACGTTGCAGATTCCAGTGCCAGCACCACCGAGATTCAAGCACATACAGCCCCGCTCCCCTCACCCCGCGCCACACGAGTTTTTGACCTTGATTCATTGCCCGTATACCTGACAGTAGTGACAGCGTCGTCCGACGACGCGCCTGGACACTGCGATACGACACCCTCCGCGTAAAACTGCAGACAGAATTGCTCGATTCTACAGTGCTGGCCAAAAGTGGAAGGGACACTTGCGATTTTACAACCGTTTTTCATCTTTTTGTCCAATTGCTGCGCAGTGAGGCTCAGATTGAGCCAATTGAAAAGCAGATCAAGTACATAGTTTTAAATTTCACAGACGATGTATATAAGCCGAGATAATCGAAAAAATTGAAATGGCTGGACTCAAACATGGTCAAAAGTGAAAGGTACACTTGACAAATCCCCACGTAGCACAAAGACTAAGGGGTTCAGTCGCCCAGCAATCAACATGTGAGTTTGAAATACTCATACGAATGCATAACAATGCGTTATTAGATCCCAAAAGGTGCGCTCCTCACTGCAGAGGAACGAGGATCGACACTGGCTTTTCGTGCCGCAAAATGGTCGATTCGACGAATCGCTCGCGAGCTTTTGTGTAAAAAACTCTGTATGTGCCTTTCTCAAGTCTCCCGACACGTATGGAACAAAAAGACGCTCTCGAAGGCCTCCAAAGCTTAACGAAATTGATGTTCGCCGAGTTCTGCGTCAAGCCAGCCAAGGAAAATCGAGTTCAAGTAGGATTCAATTTGATCAAAACTGCTCGTTCTGTTCGTCGAATCCTCAAGAAGTCCAAAAGATTCAAGTACAAGAAGCGCAAGCCTTCGCCTCGACTCACCAAGGCCCACAAAGGTGCACGAGTGAAATGGGCTGAAAGTCATGTCGACCTTGGCCTTGGATGGAACAATATTGTGTTTTCTGACGAAAAGAAATTCAATTTAGATGGCCCGGACGGCTTACAATACTATTGGCATGACCTCCGAAAGGAGGAGCAATCATTTTGGAGTCGTCAACAAGGTGGCGGCAGTGTGATGATTTGGGCGGGATTTCCAAGCCGAGGCGTCACGCAAATCGCAGTGTTGTCAGGACGTCAAGACTCCTACGCATACTGTGAGACAATTGCAAACTACCTGCTCCCTTTCGTGCATGTTCACCATCAAGATGGATACGTTTTTCAGCAAGATAATGCTCGA